CTTATTTTGCTTCTCCTTTCACAATCCTTTTAACAATCTATTCCATTGAAAAAAACTTTCGAAGAATTGTTTTTCACAGCACAACTAAAAGTGTAGTTCTGCAATATCTTATCACTTGTTCACTCGTCGCTTTCATTGAGTTAAAAAAATTAACGCCTTTAGTTACTTCGTAAAGTAACAGTTAAATAATCGTTCATGTTAAAATTCCTAGAACTATCTATATTAAAAGGATGTTTTCTTTTATCATCAACAAACATACTGTTCAAACGGCCAATAGTACATAAAAAATATTTAAACAAACTAGTGCATCTATTTTATTTTTAGTGTAAAAACTTTAAGAACTTTTAAAAATTTTTATTCCATCACAAAAATAGAATATTATTTGAAATTGTTTAACTCTTGTTTCTATTAAATATTTAACTACACTAACCTTTTTTTCTTTGTAGATTATTAACTTAGCATTTGATTGCTAAAAAGTACTTTTTATTTTACAGTTTCACTGATGATATACAGAGTGAATCTTTTAATGTTAGACACTCTATTTCTCTTGAAACAATAATTTTTTGTGCATTTTTTTTTGTCTTATTAGTTAAATATGTATGTCCATTTATATGTTATAGAAACATTTGTATGATCATACCTTAAGTCTTATTGGTGTGTGAACATAATTTTTTTATGGCAAAATACATATTTCACTATCTTATAAAATATAAAATCATGTAATTATAAATATAACTGGTCGACAACAACTTTTGGTTCATTATTTCAGAAGTTATTAACATTACCTTGGCTGTAGGAGAAGTGAGGCCATGAAATGTCTAGTGATAAAAATAGCAGTATCCGCGCCTCACTTCCAGTCAATACTTTGAATTGTTAATAACTTTTAAAATACTGTTCCAAAAGTTTTTTAAGATAAATTGAGTAGCTAGTATTAAAAGGATCGCCCTGTATAGGGCATTCAACTTGCTTGTTACTTAATAACTTTGTATGTTGTTCATTTGAATTTTTTTTTATTTATTAACATGCGTGTTGAATAAAAATATCTTGTATTCTAAGGTAAGATAAAAAAAAATAAAGTCCTTTTTATTGAATTTTAACGTACATTTTAAACTTCTTTAAAATGAAACATCAATAATTTTTCACTTGTTAAAAAGAATATCCTAAAAATTCATTCTATTTTTAAGATAAGAAATATTTACATCGGCGTAATTATAATACAATTTTTTTTTTTATTAATTTAAAATTAAAAATATATTTTCGACTTGTCATTATTTTATTTAGTCTATTTTCCATCTAATAACATAAAAATAATTATGAGTCCTCATCGAATTTCAAAAGTTACTCCTAAAAAGTATCCTTTAGAAATAATTTATTTTCACACTAAATTAATATTTATCATAATTTAAAGAAAAAATCAAATTTAATAAGAAAATTATCATTGAAAAATCATTATTTATCGAAAAAATACCGTGTAATATTCTAATAAATTAGACTGTATATAAAACAGAGTAAGATAATTAACAGTAACTGTAATTTGTAGGGACTAAAATAATGTACAAAATTACTTTTTCTTAATGATAAAAATTAAGAAAAACCCAAACCTGATTCCTTTAGTCATTATTTTTTTTATTTATTAAATAAAAGTCACAGAATAAATTGCTTTTGAGTGAATTTTTCATTATAGAGATGTGACTTATTGAATACAATCTTAAAAAAATGTTAAAATTTGTTTTAACGCGTAAATAGTTTGAGGATCACTGAGCAAAACGAAAAATTCAAGTAATGGTAGTGTTCAATCTTTAGGCAAAATTAGACTGAGTTTACAGTTGTATTTCTAGAAAATATGTTATTAGATTTCTTCAAAAAAATATACAAGATTTATTAACAATAACACAATATTTTACAAACTTTTAAACTCTTCTAATGCAGAGAAATATTAAATATTTTTAATATTTAATATTTTTTTGTAAGTGTACAGTTCAGTATTTTCCTTAATAAAAACGAAAACAAAAAAATTCTATACTGATGAAATTTATGACTAAAGTTATTGATAAAAGAAATATATTAAAGCATATTCAGAAAGAATTCTGTCAAAATAACGTTTTTAAAAATGTTGTAAATCAAACAGTGTAGGTATTTAAACGAATAATATTTAACCATTATTTTCTTATATCTAAATCTTAACAAACCTGTTTATTCACTAAAGTTGATATAATCAAAGTAGAATATGTCAATAGATTATCTACTAATTCAAACAAAAATAATAGATAATACTGATGTATTTTAAAATAATTTTAGTTTTAAAAAATCTGTAATACAATTGTAGAAAAATATTAATTAAACAATCGAATATAAAAGGCTTTAGGGAGTAAAATATTTCAAATACTCTTATTAAATCAAAGTTTCTTTTCGTTAACTTGAGTAAAACGTTTATTAAATTTGATTGTTGATAGTTAAGATTTTCACTAAAAAAGGGTCCCATCACTGGATAGCTTCCCTTTTTCCTGTTTTCAAGTCAAATGTGTTATATTCTATTGTTCACCTATTTGCTTATTATATCTTTTCTTATGTATAGATTGTAAATTTTATTATTTTATAAATAAAAAAAAAAAGATTTTCACTAATTCTAAAGACATCCTATTCTCTAATGTGCTATTAATTGTAATTATAAATTATCGTAGAATTATTTTTTTAGGGAAAATAGATACACCTGAGATTCCTCGAATAACACTCCTAGTTAAAATATTGAATATAATTTTTCACTAGATGACTGTAAATAAGCGCCATTATGATACACTCATAATAATTTAAATAATTGTTCACTATAGTTAATATAATTATTAAAATATATGTAAGTATATAGATGTTTATACTATGAAATCATTAAGATTGCTAAGTAAATATTAAATTTTAATTTAAGGCTAGGTCGCACTTGTAAATTTAACTTAAAATAAAAATTCAGTAATTGAATTATTAGTGTTTTTAATAAATCAAAATATCTAATTGTAAATGGACCTTCAACTTAAAATTGAAACTGAATAGCTAGTTTGTTTTTAGAGCTCTAGGCAAGGCCCTCAAAAATATTTTATTCTCAAATTACTAAAAAAAATTCATCAAAACAGTACTAGAAAGACCAGGACCAAATACTATGGCTCCAAATTATAATAATTATAAACATTATCGGAAAGATTCTCATTCGTTAGTTCATAAACTTCAATATTACTTTTTTGATTAAAAATGCTCTTTTTTTCAAATTGTTTAACGCTTGTTTAGTTTTTTAATAGAACATAAAACATTTTGCCGTAATTTTCAATGAATAACCGTTAAGAACCTGAACCTTCCCTTTTTTCTGAGTACTTTCCTTTTTATATTCCATGTAATTCCTAAACGAGTGCTGAGTCAATATTAGGCCAGTTCCTGGATAAGTGTTGAACAATACGAATAAAGGACCAATGAAAGTAAGATTAATGCTTATCAACTAAAGAAAGAGTAAATTTAGCCATAGTGTTGATATCGAGGGTATTAGACCACTTTAAAAAGAACCTTTAAGAACCGGTTCAAAACGGTTTTTCATGAAGAAAATTAAGTACCGAAAACCTAACCAGAATATCAAATTATTTGTCTTAAAGTATTCTTTAAGAACCTGTTGCATTTATGGTTCATAAAATCAGTTGTGTCATAATTATGTCACCATATATGTCTATAAATGACCACGCATTACTGTGCTAATAAATATTAACGTGTTTTAACATTTCTATGGCTTCTCATTTTTTGCATTTCTATAGCTTTTTAATATTTTATTTGTCGTTTAAAAACTGAAAATAATAATCCTTTCAAAAATGTTTTAGTGTTAATACAATCCAAAAAAATCAATAAAAATTCTGTATAATTATCTAAATTGTGGTACTTTAGCCGTCGGATATAAATTGGTTACTTTTAAATGTAAATAGCATTTATAAAATCGAAAACAATAAATTGAATAATTGTTTTACTTTTATTTGAAGTAGACTATATCTCCAATTTCGTTTAATCGAATTATTTGAAGCTAAGTAGATAAATTTGGAAGTGACTAGTTTTTTACTTATTGGTCAATTCAGGACCACATTACAATAATGTAAAATATAATAAAAACAAGTTAAAATAAGTATTCTTGTCTTTTGGAAAAATTCTCAAGAACATTATCGATAATAAAAAATATAATATCTAAATTTATGGGGGTGGGGAGGGGGGTTCATCTATTTTCAATGTTGGGTTTTTGTTAAGTTATCATTTCTTTTGCTGGCTTAAATAAACAAAATCCATAATTTTATAAGCCCTGAAAAATCAAAACGGACTGTCTGTCCAACTGCTCAAATGATATCCAGCCTGTAATACTGATTATTTTGAAAAATTAACAATTTTTAGTTTCTTTATTTACACAATAAGTTCTAACTTTGTACCAATTTTTATATTTATACTTATACAGGAAGTATTTTATAATTATGTATATATAATGAAGAATTATATGTAACATGGTATATTATCTCATTTTGAAATGGATTAATATTAAGAGCTAATTTTTTTATAGTATTCTAAGCTACTAAAGCTATCTATGTTTTAAATTTCAAAAACCTATTTATAGTATAAGAAGTTAAAAAAAATGGACAAATTGTTTCTTAAAAAATACACTAGCATACTAGAAATTGACCCATCGCACTGCTCTGCGCTCATATATAGATCATATAGTGTCTTAAGGTAAACAAGACTGTGTTACTTTGGACACAGTTTAGATGAGAATAAGAGATTTATTTGTTTGGGAAAATTTTAGTTAAAAAAAAGTCTACAAATTCAAATTTATTTATCTAAAATGGTTAACGAAATAAGAGAAACTAAATACTCATTATTCAGTTTTCCTTTCATTTCACTATTTCCATAATTTTTTTTACTCATAATTTGTTTTATATTGGTAAAAAAATGCCTACATGATGAGCATTTGGTTCTTATAGCGCGTTGGGAATTGTGGAAAGCGCTCTCCGTGGATGTCCCTTAAAGCTTACCTATAAAAACCGATACATACACAAGCTAACAGTGATTGTTTCTATTTGTGTATTTGAGCAAAGTGCACTGGATCTGTGGTTACAGGTAAGAAACATATTTAAAATCGGAATTTAAAAATTGTTCATGCATGATATTGAATTTAAACTAAAAATGTGGCGCTATTTTATGCAATACAATATTATTATAAAATAACTTTAATTTTTTTGTGTGGAGTACGACAACTTTAAGGAAAGCTTAGAATCTGAAAATTAAATTTATTCGTGATTATTTAATTAGAGCAGGCTGTTACAAGTAAAGATCGAATTTATATTCTATTAAAAAACCTGAAATATAAGACTTATATTCTAAGAAAAAATAAACAATTTTCTTCAATATGTCCTCTTAAAAAACCTTAAATATAACACTATTATTCTCCTTTATTCGTTTACTTGATTTTCAAAAATGAAATTAGAAAACTATGCAAAAATAATCAAAATATGCTTAAATTTATAATTTTCAATTGTATACATGAAATACTAAAAACAAGAACTAAAAATGAAAAACCAAAACTCCTTTGATAATTGTTTATTTGTTATTAGCATAATAAAATTGTATTTATATATCAAATAATTAGAAAAAAGTAAAAAATGTCAAACGTTCTAAAAAAAAAAATAATATTTTTCGTAATAATATAATGTTTTAAGTGTCATAGCTTCAATTTTGTATAGTTTTCGAATCCGAATTTTTTTCTAAAGGGCTCAAAGCATATGATCACTTTAAAAAAATATTTTCCCTATTTTCATAAAATTACTACAAAAAAAAAAAAATAGTTCTTGACTTAATATTATATAATACGAAACATTGCGTTAATTTTTGAAAGCATCTATATTATCTCTGTCATCCTAAAATAATTAGGAGGCTATTAAAATACCTCGATTCATCATTGATTTGGTAGATGCTAGATGTTCAATTTTTTTAATATACATAAAAGTTTAACACTTTTAATCTTCATTTATTATTATAAATAATTGTTAATTTTGAAAAAATATAGATACAATGGAATATTGACGCGAATTTTCGATCAGCAAAAAAGCTGATATTAAAAATAATAAATGAATTTTTTTTATAAAAACAAAAAAATGATTAAGTAATATATCTTGGGTTAACTTGTGTGCTGATATTGTGTTAAATTCAGATATATCTAAGGAAGGGAATTCTGTGAGAGCAAGGATGATCTAAGAATTCATATGTAAAAAAACTTTTTTTATACTCTTCGCTCTAAAAACCAAAAATTTAAGACGTATTTATATTTTTTATACACCTCACTGTATAAAAAAAGAAATTAATTTAATACTATATAGTTTAATTTTTCACGCATTTAACTGAGGGCTAATAGACATAAATAGTTTGGCTATATTTAATACTAAGTTAATTTAATCATTAATTATTATATAAAATAAATATAATGCAAGTCAAATTTGTAAAAAAAGATTAATAATTTTTTTTTAATCGAACAAATGTAACAATATATTTACTTTCACTTTTATATTAAAACTGAAAGTGTAAGGACTTAAAAAAAATTAATATCCAACAACTTTACCTATTCGCCAATCAATTTTGTACATTAAAATTTTACCAACGTCATAATCATACATAATATCAGTGGCGGCTCGTGGCTTTGACGCGGAACGATCGAACTCTCTACTAAAATTAATTAAAAGAAGAAAACTAATTGTACATTATTAATTGTACATTTTTATTAAAAACTAGGCTCCGCCTTAGTTGGATTCCGCCCCAGATTCGAGGCCTTACGGCTCTACGCGCCTTTGTCGCGTCGAAAGCCTCTTCAGGACGTCATAATAAGTAGGCCACTGATTCCGGTAGGAATACCAGGCTACGATAAATGTTTGACAGAAAAAATATTACATCAGGAAAATTTAAAAAAAGAATATAGTAAAATGTATTGGGTACAAGGTTGACGTTTGTTAATGAGGTATTCCCCTTAGGCGTATTCAAAAATTATTTTAGGAGGGTATTTAAAATTTTTTTACTTTGTTAAACATGTTATAGAAATTTTTTGCTAAAAATACAAAAAAAAGGACATTAGGTCCTTATTTCTTAGAAGTTGCCTAAAAAAATATTGATAGCACTGATTCAAGGGGGGCCCATAAATACCCCTGGTATCTACAAAAATTATTAATATTCTAATTATAATAATTGTGTTTATATTAAAGAATAATTACAAAAAAAATCAGCATGTTATTATACGTGGGACTATGTAAAAAATTTAATTTTTATAAAAACATTGGTAACTGTGATTTGACGTTAGACAACATAATTGTCAAAGATGGATCCCAATTTAAACAATAAACTCATAGACCATACATCGTATATGATGATTAAAAAGATTATTAATAATGCACTGTTCTGATAATGAAAGTACAAACTTATATAATTAAAACTGTCTTGAAATTTATATATAACATATAACATTCCTTGATAAAATATAGTGCTACGTGCAAATGCAAAATAGTGTCCTAATAAAAATACATATTACACCACATAATTAAGTTCAGAATAAACGTATGCGTAGAAATGAGTCAATGCGCACATTAAAACCATGCTCGTGGACTTAAAAAAAAAACCGCAAAAAATGAATGGATTGAATTGATTTTATTATCATATCTCAGGAGTATCATTGGACGGGTCTGGTGAAAATTTCGAATCTTAAGTCGTAAAACGATGGCGTCAGCGAGCTTTTTTCTCGAAAACGGTCGCAGTCGAGCGGCAAAAATTTTCCGACATTCGCCAATAATTTTCCGGAGTCTGGTAAACGAGTACTTTCATTGGAAAAAACATTTTTGAAAATCCGAGCACGCTAAGTAATTTTCCCAGAAAAGCGTTTTTTTTCTTGTTCTATTTTATAATAAGATACAAATTTTTAAATAGTAAAATATTTTGTCTTGTGCGAACATTAAAGTTGTTTCCCTCAGTTTGTACCGATACGCATACACACACAATGTTAAGACGGCCGACAGCGTCGTCCGAACAACATTCAGACACGTATATTATAAACGAGGCGTCCAATCGTGTGCGTGCGGGTACAGTTCAGTTGCAATCTTATGTACAGGTTTTGGACAACCGACACCGTCGTCCATACGGTAAAATATTAGTATATTACTATATTGGGTATTTTATTTTTAGAACTAAATGCGAGTACGCTTGTAGTTATCGGTTGCTATAATAGTATAATCGCTATTATTATTATTTTCATTTCTATTTTCTACTGCGACCTTTAAGATAATAATATGTGTATTGTGTTTTATTTCATTATATTTAAAGTCGCACCCACGAACCACCACTGCATAATTTAAATCAAATTGTCATATTATTAATAAATTTGAAGTCAGTTTTTTTTTAAATCAATTGGTGTGCAGTATAATGATAATAACAACAACGAGATGTTGATATAAGGTCTGATTGAGAGTTTTTAAATGTGTGAAGTTATAAATGTTAATTAGATTTTGCAAATGTATAATTTATAGTTAATGCAATGTTTAACTAGTAGTCATATAGAGCCAATTTGGTGTAGTGTTAAAGTAGCATAAGTTGAAATTCATGATGTTACAAAATTTTAACAGGAAATAGATATTATTTTGAAAACTGTATGGTGTTTTACCTGATTATCTATAATGATGCGCAATAAATTTTTTTAAGAGTGCTATGGGAAATTTAATTACAACTTGATTAAATCAGAATATTGAGTCTAATAATGAACGTTTCGTTAATGTGATATAAACAGGACCCTCATCTAAGGGGGTACTGAGTGCACGTACCTGGCTGCAGGTTTTAAGGGCAATACTGAAATATGAAGCATTATAAATTATAGTCTTTGAGTACAGTCTTATGTATTTGCAATTTAATAATATTACAAATCAAACTCGAATTTTATTTTATTTGCCTTGTATCATATAAAGACCACTAACGCCGCTTAAAGTATTTTATCTCTTTTTTTTTTTTATAATTATGGCCTTTTAATGAATCATCGAATTTTATTGTATGTACTTAGAAATATAATTATTATTTTAGTGAGAGAAATCATAAACAATGCAAACAATTGTCTTTCATTAATTTAAAAATATTATAATGCAATATGTTTTTGTAATATTGATTCATTATTATTTTTGAATTTTTACAATAAAAAATAAATATTTATTTCTAATATTTATTATCTAATATTAAAAATACCTTACCTTATTTCCTATGTCAAATACAAAAATTAACTGTTTGCTAAAATTTAAACTTAATATGAAAAAACTATAGATGCAAAGAATAAGTTTTTCTATCACTGTATAAACAACTCGTATATTTATTGCAAATACATAGAAATGTGTATTAATTTTGATATTAATGAGATATGACCCCATAATTATCACATATTTTGCATTTTCATTTGTTTTGTAAGATTGTTATAACAATTTTAGTTTTTAAATATCTTTCATAACAACTAGATTCGCTACTGTAAATCTGATAACTTTGAAATGTTGTTCCAAACTCACTAACTCCTGCGTATTTTCTTTTCTTAGAATCTAAAATCTTATTGTTGTATATTGCATTTTGTTGTGTTATGAATTATTTGATCTAAGGTAGTGATTCCCAAGCAGTGGGCAGTAAAACTGATGATTTTATTTAGACCTAATTTTAGTTAAAGTAATATACATAATATGTAATTCAAATATACCATATCATTCAAAATCTATTAAATAAATTAATGTGTCTTTGATTAGAAAAGTTGATAAGTTTTGATCTAAGGGCCGAAAATTTCGTAGATTTAAAAATGATTGCTATTGTAAAAAAATTTGAAATTTTTATGGCTTAAATTATTTTTATGAGTTTTAGTTACTAAAAATTAAATTAATGTCTATTATTTTTCAAAAATTAAATAAATTAATTATAGTTATTATTAAAATACTGTTAATATGAACTCAATCGGTGTTGTAATTGAAGGGAGCATTAAGGACATGATCTCCCCAAAGGTCTATTCAAATTATCCAATTACGCATCAACTATATTCTTTATACAATTTATCTTTTAATTAGATTAGATTATGTTTATTTACACATATTTCATATTTAAATAAATAAAAGAAACTGATGTATAAATTTCTTACATAAACGCTTTGTTTACCATTTATTTAAATTAAATAATTATGTTTATCGTCTACATTTTTGTTTAATGATTTTCTCACTATAATTATTTTAAGCGAAAGAAAATTGATTGTCCACCATTTCTCTCCATTGTTTACATCAAAACTAAAATTAATTTTACTTGAAGCATTATTTCTATTTGATCTGTTATTCTTTGAATAGTTATCATTTAAATTTTCAATGTCTCAGCATTATAATTCCTATTTTATAAATATCCCTTCATAATTTATAAAAAAAGAATTCTGTTCATTGTTTGCATAAATAAACATAAGAAAATATAATTTTACATATTCATAATATTTTCAAATTACAATTTAATAAAATATTTACCCGTATTACACTTGTATTGTTGCAGATTTTAAAAATTGATGTTACAGAAGAAATTTATTTTAATTCCAAATAATTTATTCTCAACTGACCATAATAAGCAATTAAATTGATAAAATATTATATTAANCCATAATAAGCAATTAAATTGATAAAATATTATTTTCAGAACTAGGGCTTAATATTTGTAGTGAGTAGATAGATTGGGTGGAATACCTTCCATGACAACTATTTGGATTAATATAGATAGTAATTTTGTTGATTTTAGTTTCAGTTGATATTTACAAAAAGAAATATTTTGTTTATTACATTTTATTGATGAGCAAAAATAAACTTTTTCTGACTACACTATTAAAAATAAGAAATAATTCGTTAATCATATTATTTATAGCAATATAAATAAAAGTAAAATCTGTTGTCATATAATTTTACTATATTAAAAATTATATTTAGAAATTAATAATGCATATTAAAGCAATCAAAACTGTGACGGAGACATTATCATATAATAAACAGTATTACAATTTGTGAATTATTTTTAAATAATTTCTAATTTTTAATGTTTTCAAAATATAATAATAAAAATTATTTGTTGAACGCCTCTAAAATTATTTATAACATCTTTTAATTTCACCTAGATTGTTTTATTATTCGGTATATAATGTATATTAATCATATAGTTTGAACGACCATTATAATCCATTTAAAAACAGCATACAGTTACCTTTGTGATAACCAATTTGTCACATTAAAACATTTATAAGACGACAAAATATGTGTATTTGGTAAAATTTTGTTAAACGAAATTAACTTAATTACTCAAATTTATTCCAGTTCCTACCCAATAAATATAAATATATTAAATGTATTTCACTTTATAATGATTATTAATATGTTACGTGGAGATTAATATAATGAGAGCAATTGATATCTAAAGTTTGAATACACTGTCGAAAATAAGGAGGCTTAGCCCCCCAAAAAAATAATAAATAAGCCCTTCTAATTTTTTTTAGATTCCTTCAATTTTTTGTTTTCTATTATTTTTTTAAAGATAAGTTCACTACAATGTTAAGTTAAAATGAATTTTCTAAAACTATTGTAAATAATTATTTATTATAGTTTTAGAAAATTAATTTTAACTTATTATATTTATATAATAATTAATTATTAATAATTAAAATTAAATTTTATTATTTTGGTTAACATTGATTTCAATAATTTCTATCATGAACATATATTGTTGATGATAGCCTTTTCACTGATAGCACAACAATAATATAATATAATGACATACACCGGAATAAGACAAAAGTAACGAATTTTCTGATTTTTTCGAAATGTTATAACTTAAGTAACTGCTCACGATCACCAATTTATGGCCAAAAATCTAATTCATATTCAATACACGTTAGTTGTTATTACTTGTAAAGATTAGTAATTAATTTTTGATCATAACACCTAGTTGTAGTATTTGGATTTATTATTTTTTAAATGTGCCGGGACTTCCTATTGAAACTAATAATTACTTAAAAGTAATACTAATTGTTATGACAAAATAATTCGAAAAAATCAGTTATGTATACATAATGATTAATTTATCATGAAAAATTCAATTAATCGAAAAATAAAAATTATTTTGGAGACTTTTTTTTAGTATACGTTTTTTTAATTTACCAATTCATAATTATTCATTCCTTGTAGCCTATAAGGGTGACAACTTTTATTTAAATGTACATAAATAATTAAATAGTTTATTTAATAGATAATGCTCTAATTAAAAATGACTGATTGATAACAACTTTCGGACGAGCATTTTGGAAGTTAATGACATTTTATACTAAGGATAGAAGTCAGACGTGGGTGCTGCTATTTTTATTATTAGTTATTCATCGGTCGCATTTTTTCTCCAGCCTAAATATAAATATGTCAATAACTTCCAAAATACTGGTCCGAAATTTGTTATCAACTAGTCATTTTCTTTATTAAATCTTTATGCATACAAAAATCTAGTTAATTATGTATGTTTCCATTAAAAAAAATAATTTTGATACCCTTATAAAATTTAAGTAATGAATCGAAAAAGTACATAATAATTAATAAATTGATAAAACATGGATCTAAAAGAAACCAAAAATTACTCAACATTACTATTTTTGGATTAATTATGTGATTCATAATAAATGATTCACTATGTATAAAATGAATATTTGCTATTGAGTTTTTATTTAATTGTTTAATTTTTGTTTTTAGGATGTTAATTACATTAGTAAATTTAAACAAAAAGAAGTTATTGATTTATTGTAATTTTATAGATTTCATGTAGTATAATATATTATTATTAATCATATTAAATGAACAAGTAATACATACAAATAACGTATATTTATAAGAAAAAATATTAGAGCCCCAAAAAATTTACATTAAATGTAAATTATTTATAGTCATTAAAAATTGTTTGAATATAAATNTAACGTATATTTATAAGAAAAAATATTAGAGCCCCAAAAAATTTACATTTATATTCAAACAATTTTTAATGACTATAAATAATTTTTCGAGGAAAATGATAAGAATACACATTATGGTAATGTATTTTAAAAGGATATGATTGGGTTTACTTATAGTAATTATAGGAGTATTTCATGTTTTTTCGATAAAATCAAAAAAAAGTGCGATATTCTTTGTTCATTTGTGCGTTATTTAGAGTTGAGTAAATGACTGTTAAAAAGTATTGAAATCACATTACTCGTTACTTTAAAATTTTGTATCACAATTGCATAATTAGTTACTTTTAAAAAATTCCAATAAAGGTGGTTTCACGTTACTGCGACAAAGTAACTCATTCGTTACATTATTATTATTAAAAATAAAATATAATATAAATATTTATCACAACCAAAAGAAAATGTTTAATAATTTATTAATTCCTTACTTTCATATACTTCAGTAATAATAATAACAACAAAAATTCACTTCTATTAAGTATAATATTTTGATGTATATTAATATTAGGATGTATTTGTATATTAAATGACAAATTCATTAATCGAACTATAAAAAAATACAATGTGTCCGCAAATGATATGCGCTATATATAGCATATATTGATAAAAACAAATTAAACCCAAAATATACGAAGGGAAATCTATTTATATGAACGTAATAGCTGCGCTCGTATTCGCCACGGGCGCCTTATCTAAACAATATAAAAATAAATAACATGTGCGTTCACAAGAAAATCAAATTACTGTGATTTTTAATTGCACGCTATCCGATATTCGGTTACTGGTTAGTTATGGTTGATGACCAACCTGGTGTAATATTTTTTTACGTTTGTTCAAAATATGGACAATTAAAACCGTAACGCAGAATATTATGTTATTTTAAATAATTTCGTTATAGTATCGAGTAACTGACGTTACGTTATTATCCACTACTGGTTATTTAGAGTAAATAAACAAATTAAATTGTACTACGTATCTTGTAATTTAAACCTATATGATTTTATAATAATTTATAATGTTTGCTTGGTAAAGGATATTTACAAAAACTATGAGATCCTCTACGTTAACCTTGGTCTGGTTAACTGTTTTAGTGTCTCTAGTTCAAATAGCTTCCGCCGATGATGTTATCATGCAAAAGAGGGTAAGTTATCGTATACTGATTTACAAATAAATTGTTAGAGTAATACTTAAACTAATAAGTAATTTTATTTGACGGGTTTTGTTAGAAGATGATCAAGTCAAAAATGGTACTTTTTCAAGAGACTGAATACACGGAAAATTTAGGGATGGTGGTGTATGAGACTTTGAATTTAAATTGTAATAAAAATATAACTACACCTGATATTATGAAGTTATTACTAAATATAGTGATAAATATCAAAAAACATTGATAAACAACTCTAAATGACAAATTTTGACTTGACCAACTTCTCATAAAAACTATTTAATTATATTTTAAAAATAGCATAATTATAATTCAATTTTTATTAATAAAATATTTTCCTATTTTCCTTCAGGGCATAATAATTATTTTTATTGATTGAAGTATATTGTGTAACCTTACAAAAATTAAAAAAAATTACTATACATTAAATATTATTTAAAGAACAGTATTCATTTTTTACACGTTTAAAAAATAGTTTGAAGTTTAGTTGCTATAGAAATTTTAATTTAACTAGTATTTTAATAAAAATTTAGTATAATTATTGAACATTTTAATTTAAACAGTTCATTTTCACTAAAAAATTTAATCAATAATGTAATTTTTTGTACCAGTATTATGATGAAAATATGGCACCTGAACCAATCAGAAGAAAAAAACCTTTTTGCAATGCATTCACAGGTAAAAATAAACAATTAAATATACAAAAGAATAATTCATAATTATATTATTTGCTTGTATCTTAATTGCGGTTTTGCAAATATAATTTGTTATAAATGCAGTGGTTATGTGTCAAGTATGTTCAGGGTTTTTTAAATATTTTAAAAATGTTAAGACTAATGACGTGATGTAGGATGAGAATATACCTATCTCCCTGTTACTAAAATAATTTGGATACATTTTTTTTTATTGAAGGGATAGTAAAAATTTTTCCTATATATACCCCCATTAAGAAAACATTGATTGAATCATTTATTTATGTTATAATTATATTAAAAATAAATAAGGAAAAACGACAATTATATCATCATGTCATTTTATTTTTGACAAACATAATAATAAAATTAAAATTAATTTAAAATATAGATATTAATTTTATTTTATAAAAAATTAATTGTATATCATTACAATTACTCTCATGTTTGTAATAATAATTGGTTAATCAATGCCAACTTCGCTATAAACCATGTAATTATTAAAAAATAACATTTTGCAGATTTCTTAAAAAAAATCCAAAATTATCAATAAATTCGAGTCAATTTTGTTCAAATTAAATTATAAAAATTCTTTTATAAAACTAAACAATAAAAATCACTGTTTAAAATTAAATATTAGTTGTATTTAAGTTGAAAAAATAATGTCACTTTTAAAATAAAATGTAAAATGTTTAAAATAAATAATTTAATAGAAATAAGCCCTGAGTTTGGAACATCACTCACAATTAATAAAATTAATTAACTTAAGGTTTCAAGTTTTAGGAAAGAATAAAAAGTATATTATACTTGTTATACTTAAATAGTCATTATGCTGATTTTATAGTGAAAGCTTTGCATCTAACCTTCAAATATTAAGATACAAAAAAATGTCAAACTTGGATTTAAAAAAATCATTCAATATTGAAATCGGAATATTATTTGCATATTTTGATTAATATTTTAATATCAGTTGAAAAATATTCAATGTATTACGTAAAAATGGATTTTTATGGAAATTATTGATTTTTATTTAATAACTTAAGCATTCCAGTCATGACTTTTATTTGATTAATATTTGTAAATATACTATCCTACTATAACATTAATGAGAATCTCGAAGAAAAATAAAGTTTAATTTATGCTCGTAAAACATATGAAACAATTTTAATACTTACCAATGAATACAAATATAGATATTGTTTATTAAATTATTAAAAGTAAACAAAAAGTTGTAAGAGAGAAATCAAACGATTTTGAAAGTAGTAGTAGATACATAATTTCTATCAACTGTACTTCTGTTTCTAAGTATAAATATTAATCACTGATAAATATCAAAAAACCTTTGTCAAGCAAATGCTAATACAGTTGTGATAATCAAGTTTCTAATAAAATACCTATGTAGTTATTCTATTGGTTAATAAAATAACTTTTACTAGTATTGTATAAACAATTTCTTGTGTCAGATTCGGCGAAAAAATGTTATTGATAAATAATCGTTACAAAGTTTAATAAAACGATTGAAATTTATCTTGATGTCTTATAAGTTTTTTTGTTTAAAACTTTGCTGAACATTTTTAATAACACACCTTCTATACTTATATAACTTTTTAGCTCCATCAAAAATCATTTTATCAATAAATAGGTTGTTTATGTAAAGTTTATTAATCAAAGTTAAAACAGAAATAGTTATTTTCTAATTAAATTGTAAAAATTATACATTTAATTTTTTATACGCCCTGAGACTTGATGTTTTTCCCTTGACTTATATAAAAATGTTAACTAACCATCTGAAGTTTTTCTTCGAGGAGAATTTGCAAAAAATTATAATATGCACTACAACACTTTTACTACTCCTACGTACTCTAGTACATAAAAGAATTTACAAATGTTAAATCAAAAAATTTGAGTTTAGGTTTTTAAAAAATACACTTAGTTATACTTCAACTAACTTTTTCAAAGAATTTAGAACTATTATTAACATTTATTTTCCTCAGAACAACGAATGATCACAATTATAGTTTCTTTGAAAACTTTCTGATTGCTTTGAATAAAAAAAAAAAGAAAAGAAAATCATGTTCTTCTTTCAGACAAGACTTAAAAAAATTAACATATATTTGAATTCCAGAATACAGTGTGACAAGTAGCTTAAAAGAAGACTTTTTATTCAAACACGGATAAAATATTAAACGCGTGTTACACTCATTTGAAAAAAAAAATTATTAGTGATATCATTTGAAGATATTTAAACAATGTTAAATTTAGAATCAATAATTTTAAGTTAAATTAAATAATACTGAATATTTACTGATAGTTACTATCATTACTTATTAGTTTTTGTAAAATACTATTATTAGATAATCGGAGTCAAAATCGGAGACATAAAACGAAAGGTACTTATTATTGAAGTTGTGCACAAAGGACCAACAGGTCTGAGTGCATGGGCATTATGCCCATCTCACTAATAACTATTATTGAAATTATTGAGTTATTGTAAATTCTAGATTCATAGTTATTTTAATTGAACACATAATAAATGTTTCCTTTTACTTATTTTGTTTAAAATGTTTACTATTAAATCTTTATTTTCCTCGCCTTAATCTCAATTACTTGGGGTCGGCCAAAATGTTTATTATTAAATATTATTATTTTATAATGGTCGAAAAAAATTGTATTGAGATAAATTCGTCCGTTAAGTTTAGACTCGTCAAACTTTTAATTAATATACAACGTTTTAATATTTTGCATCTGCATTAAAATATTAGCATTTTTCAATTGAAAATATTTAATTGTTTATGTTTAGGATGTGGTCGTAAAAGATCAGATGAATCGATGGCTACGCTAGTGGAGCTTCGTTCAGAGCCAGCCGTTGAAGAATTAAGTAGACAGATTCTATCTGAAGCAAAATTGTGGGAAGCTATTCAAGAAGCACGCCTTGAACTGTTACGCGATCAAAGACATAAAGTAAGTTTTATATATGTAACTTAGAGATAAAACAACACCATATCACAAAATTTTATTTTTTAAGAGGTCAAATTTTGGTGTTTTCTTCCTATTAAAATTGATGGACATGGTTCTAATTTACATCATCTTATTTCCATTATTCATGATAAATGATTATAGTTATATACCCTATATCTTTACTTAGAAAAAAAACCCTACAATATAAAAATGAGACCAACTTTATTTCTTAAAAATGAATATGGTGTCTTTCACCTTTGAAGTACAGATATTATTAATTCATCAATAATTATATTCAATTTCTTACTATATAGCACAATCCAATAATAGGTTCTATCTGATAGCTATTGATAATTCATCAAGTTTGTATTAAATGACATTTTTTTAATATTTTGCATTTTAGTCATATAGTAGCAAACTTTTTTGTAAGAATTTAATATAATGAAATGTTGGAAACTTTTATAACCTTAATTACACTATGAACCTTGGTACATAGTATGACGTAGTATTATTGTACCTGATTAATCTCTCCTAGCTACTGTAACTTTATATCAACGGAAACGGCCTGGACCTCTCGTATCATTTTCTCCGTAAAAACGCCTTTATGGCCACTAATATTTACGATAGTAATTGCCAAAACTCATTTTCTATGTAAAATTATTACTATTGTAAAGAGTTGAACTTTAAATTATATGCATACATATTTAAAAAAAAAATGTTTATATTGCCACTTGGTTTGGAGACTCATTAGATATGCCCCTCCTCTAAGTTGCAAAATATTCTAGGGTCTTCGACAATTGTTAGACATCATGTTAGGCAAGACTGTATTTAGTGGGTAGTTCAGAGAGACAATAGTCCTTCAAAAAATAAAAATAAATTTAAGAAGCGAATCTCACTATTAAATAGATAGATAATTATTACTAACGATCGATAAAATATTTAATTATTTCATTATACGAAATAATTTAAAAACCAACAATATATATTGTTAGTTTTCCATGGGAAATATTTATATAATCGATGAAAATAATCACAAAAATAAAAGGCTGTATAATTTTACTTAAAGTAAAAAATAGTTAACATTAATTGAAATTGAAATTCAATTTGAAAATTGTATTCTCATCAATCGATCGGAGTTATGAAAAGACCTTTATTTTTGTTCATCAATATTATTTAAAAAAGTGGCAAATTGACTTACTCGCCAAATTTTTGTTTTAATTATCTGTAAACAATTATTGATTTTTTATATAATTTACTATAATATATTGCATTAAAAATCTTATTTTTAAATAAAAATAAACTATTTTAATTTTAAAACATTGGTTGATTCTTACCACTTGTCCTTATCATACTATCACTTTTTATTAGTTTTATGACACTTGTTAGTTTTCATCAAAGTTATTTCGTTATAAAAATTTCAGACGCAGTCGGGCTATGAAAAGATAAAAGTGGTTGCGACCGGGAAACTCCCCAAAAAATTAAGAGTGACAAAATTTATCCGTGCTAAAATTTTAAATATGTTTCTGAGAATGGGAAAATGGTTTCTGATATTTTTGGATGATAATTATAAGCGAATAAATGTAAATTATCGGGAGTACCTAATTACTATTTATCGTTTTATCACATTTCCTTTAGTTTTTCAAAAGTTGGAATTAATCAATCGTTTGTTAGTTAAATACCATTAGTTGAAATGGTATATTTTTTGTTTTCTTAATGTTATCTTTATATCGACATAATAATTAATTTTAAATGATTTACCTGAATTATGATAAATATTAAATACTAGGTTATATGATGAGCATTAAATCTGTCATAAGTTTCGCTTATATTACAAACAAAATGTTTGACTCTTGTAAATATTAAAAATTAATTAAACCAATGTCATTGAAAAAAAGTAGTCAAAATTAAAAAATATTATATCTTTGTGTAAGGAAATTTGCATTTTCTGTAGGGTAATATCACCAATTAATGAACACTATCAGTGAACAAACACTGCTGAGTTTTTAAGTAAAAGATTGTCTAATTTGACTGTAACAAGTTGTTGCTAGTAGTTTTTGTAACAAACAATATCTAGATTAAGGCTTACTGCAATTTTTTTTTTTAAGGTAAACGCCCTGTAAGCAATAGACTACATGTATCAGTAATTAATATACAAAATACAACAAAAATAGTAATTAGGCACTAATATATAAAATAATAATAATAATAACAATACAAAATATGTAAATGAATAATCAAAACAAATATATAAGTATAAATTAATCATACGTTTAAGAATATTTCAATTTTTGATACAATATTATTAACTGTTCTTTTACTGAGAAATTCTAATTTTCAACGTTTAATAATAAAATTAAATGTTTGTGTTAATTATAAATATTTTTAAATTATTATTATAGAGAATTTTCCAGAAAACAAATATTTATTAACTTAATAAGTGGGACATCAAAATATAAACTAATTAAGAACTTAAAAAATGAAAAATTCTTAACTGTTCATTCTTTGGTGAAGTTATTCTATTTCTGATGAAAAAAAACGTGCATAAATTGTATAAACTAAAAATCATACAAAAAAAAATTTGTATACTGAAATTATCATGTCTGATTTCCTTTTTATGAGTATAGTTACCGTTAATTTGAAATCTCTAGAAATCGAGCAATTATTATTAAATTATTATGTACAAGACGACATAGGCATACAAAAAAACAACACAATATTTGTGTTTATCCAATACTAGTAATAATATTTTTCGACATTGGTGTTTTTTTCGAGAAAAATAATATTTTTCTAGAATTTTATTAATAAGACAGAAATATCTTTAAATGGCATTTATACTTTTATTATGTTTTTTTTAAGAGTAATAAGACTTTTGAAATAATAGATTTAATAATTAACTGATGATGTAAGTATGAAATATTATTTACTATCATAATTTCGTTCTAATAATTAGGACAACAATGACTGATTTAGTAGGAAGTCCTATTTATCAATTATTTTTTGAAACTTTCTTTTAGTTCTATATATAAACTTTTAATATCATTTTTACTCATATTAATTTATTTGTTGTTTGTAGGTAGTTCCTCGACAATTTACAGTTTAAATATAAACAAAAATTCAAAATTTATTTAAACGTATAAAATGGTACAATAGTATATACAAAATAATAATTATTAAAACCTCCATTGACAGATCCCTATTTATTTCGTTAAAACCGGAGTGGATCCAAAATTTTTTTTAAGGATGCACAAAAAATGTGGATGTCAAAATCAATTTTTTTGCCAATTTTATTATTTAAAAATACCTTTTATTCCTTTTTTTTTAGTAGACGATGATAATTTAAGAAGGAGCACGTACCCCCTGGATTCGTCACTGCTCCATACCTATAATAATATTCATCTCTTAATGCATTAACCAACTGGGTATTCACTTAACGTCTTATTTTTCCTCGCCTTTATCCGAACTACTTGGAGTCGGGTATTCCCTTAGTATATTTCCAATATTTTTACCTTAAAAAAAATTAAAGTTTGGTGAAAAGGTGTATCTAAAACACTAATCAAAAAAAAAAAAAAATTAATTCGATTTGAGTTAATAAAAAAAATTATAGTCATTTAAGTTTACCAAAAAATACTCTTTTTATTTTTAAGTTCTTATTCAAGTTTTTTTTAATTCTAATAAGATGAATAAAAAATGAATTATAATATTTATTAAAAATATCAGAAAATCCGTTAAAATGCAGTTCTAAAGAATTTTAATATTATTTAAACCTTTTAATGAAAATGTGGAATAAAAGTTTGCTTTTACTTTCATTAAAAAGTGCTTTCAAATTTTCATAAAAAATTCACATTTAAACTACATAGTTTAGAGGCGCAAGTTTGTCTGTCCTAATACAGTTTATATGATAGCTTTAATATTAGTAATATTAATCGATCATAAGCGATTAGCAATAAACAAAAAAGTAAAAAAACTTCATTTATTTTAACATTTAATAAATACGATAACTTTCGAAACTGAATTAACTATGCGTAAAGTTGACCTTTAAAATAAATTGTACTAAGTACTTTTCAATGTTCTATTTCTTAAATACACAAACAGTTTGAATCGACTGCTAGAACACATTAACGCTTAGCTACAAAGTAACTGAAATTACTCTATCACAAACGAAAACGAAAAAAATCAATATAGCTCTTTTCCGTATTGGCCGTTATTAGATAATTTATAATTTGTTAAAAAAAATGGAAAAGTAAATATATATTAATCATTGTAGTGATCAATAAGTATGAATCAATCGATATCTTTTTGGGGGGTTAACTTTTATCTATTTCGTAACGAAGCTCATTAAGAGATTGAGTTCTTTTAAATAAAAAAAAACTTGTACAAAAAGATTAAAAAAATATTTATTTATGAATATCTATACTTTTAACCAAATTAAATGCTGTAGATTAGATAATACTTTAAACCTTTATTAATTATTTATAATGAAAAATGTCTTTTGATGATTTTATAAGGTCAGACTCTTCATTGATCAATTACCTAAAGAGCTCTTTATTAAGATTTATCATAAATAAAAATGTTACTTATTTTTGTTGTTTCAGGAAAGAAATTTAAAACCCCTTCCATTGTCTTTGAAAAGAAAACGCCGATCGCCATTATTTTGTGCAAACTGTTGAGAAGTAAAAGTTCAATAAATATTAATTTTATTATATTTTAAATAAATTCTAGTAAATTGTTTAATGAAGCCGCCGTTATTAAGTCAAATATTACATATAAATTGTGGAATTACTCATAATACCCTTTACAAAAAATATATCTTTATAAAGTTTAATTTTATGATTTAAAATCAATATAATTTATATCTATGTGTTATTGTTTTTACACTGTGTAATTTCCCAATATAATATTTCAAATTGTTGTTATTTGCTGGTTAATTTAAACCTGTGTACAAAAATAAACATTTTTTTTTTGTCCAAAATCTAACATGAGTCCTTTTAAATTTGTCTGCAACTACAAAGAAATGTTTTGCTTTTTAGATCTTTTAGTAACATCTCATTAAGTCAAGCCTCCAGTTTTCTTTATTTACTGTTCAGTTCCTCAAATGGTTACATATTTATTTTAAAAATACCTTCCTAGCAAATTTTTTATATTTCAAAGGGTCTTTAAATAATAAATAACTTATTAAAAATTTATCGAGGATTTTTAAACTACCAGCCAGTATTTTTTAACCTTTATACCATGACAATTCTCTTGTTTTATGTAAATTTATTTAGTGACCTCTAACATAGGTGCAATGGACTTCTCACTTGAGGATTGTGAATTAATTATTTAGTAATTCATGATCCTAAGTTGAAAATCAGTGCCTTAAAACCATACCATAAAAAGATTGAAAATTTTTGGCACAATTAATTTTAATAAAAATTGTTTAGATAAAATTCTTATAACTAAATATATTTATACGTTAAAGCTTTTATGTGTCATTACTACAATTATCATTTTGTTATTAAAGTGAAAAACTAATTAATTTTTTTATTTCTTCTGATCTTCAACACACTTGAAATAAAGCTAACATATGTTGGTTAATATTTATCAAATTTCATAAATTATTTAATTAGAATTGAAAACAAATTCAGGAGAATCAATGATAATTTTTAAGAATAATGACTATCCTATAGTGTAGTTTAACATTTGCTCTAAAGTTTATAATGTAAATAATTCTTAATAAAAAAATAATCATTGAAAATTAATAGTATTCATAAAATTAAGTTCTTTAATATTTAATAAATTAATCTGACAAAAAACAAAAAATAATGATTAGTTTTGACGAATATAAAAATTTTATTTAATAATAGTTTATAATTTTACTATAATTTTGATCAGACTACTTTTTTTTCAATAAATTAATTGCAATTTGACTGACTACATTTTCATCACAAAAAGAATTCAATATCATCTCTTTGATATCAGATTCTTCATTAACTTCTATAGTTTTTGGTAAATGATTAGTACAATGGTGTTTTGTATCAATTTGTAAATTTTTAATTGATTGATTGGCATTTAAAACAGTAAACTTGTAATCTGATGAACTAGGTATGATGTACTTCATGTTTTCTAAAGAGGAGCTTTCTTCATTTTTAATCTAAAAAATATATTTTTTGTTTTAATTTAAAAAAGTAGGAGCGTGGTGTGGCGCGGTGGTCACACTAGTTGTTGATAAAACTCTAGTGTTAAACCGCGCCTACCACTGTAGGTGAACGGATGGGTGACCATGCGTGCGCTTCTACGGTGGCGAAAAAGCACCATGGTTCCCATTGCAGAAGGCAACTTAAACTGTACTTAAATTTGCCCAGGATATACCAATGGTATTAACCAACCTAACGGCTGTAAAAAAAAAAAAGTTTTGTGTATCTATGCATATTTTTATTACTATACCGTTTTTAAACTTTGTTCAATAAATTTCATAGATTCAGCTGTCATATTTGAAGAAAATAGCTAAAAAAGTTAAAAAATTATAATGTTACAGGAATAAATGGTGACAAAAGATAATAAACTTGTTTATTTGTTAAATAATTACTTCATTTGGATTTAATAAGTGAGATTGAATATTTTCAGATACACCTGAACATACACTACTAACTAAGAAACGAACAATGGACTCATTTAATCTACTTAAATTGTCATATTTAGAAATAGGTATCCAGCTATTTATGCTAATGGCAGTAGATAAATTTTCCACATAGTGCCACCATTTATGAGGAACATAAAGAACATCACCAGGTGATAGCACAACAGAAATACATTTACATTTTTCGTCTATACCTAAAAAATATATTCATGTAATAAAATATGGTAATTATAATATACAAATAAAAAAAAAAGATTCAATATAAGCTTAAACAAACTTTTAGACTTTTCTAAAACGAAAATTAGGCATTAAACTATTTTTAATTTAAAAATTATATTTTCTTTTATTGTTCTTTAAAAAAAAAATAAATTATCTAGATTTTAATAATAAAAATGTTTGTTTAATATTAACTTAAAAATTTTTTTAGGGTATTTATAATTCTTTAATTAATTAAATGAATAATTTACTTGTAAGGATTTTAGGGCATGAAAAATTTATTTTGCTATAGCAACTAGATTCTTCATAAGGAACTCTTGAGGGTAATAAATATTTTCCCATATCAGGAGGTAATAAAATCCAACGCTTTCTACAGAAAACATTTAATTTCATATTATTCTTATTGAATAAATTTTTTTTGATGCAATATAAAAAAACAATACCAACGTTCCATAAATTTGGGCCACTAGATTAATTCCATAAAGATCTTGGTGACATGGTGTATGAGCTCCAGTGCTTCCAATCCATAAAGTCGAATCTTTTGCATTTAGACTTTCATATCCAAATTTTCTCCAAGATATTGACTAAATAAACATACATGATATAGTAAAATCAGTACAATGATAATGACTTAAAAAACAATAAAATAAATTGAACTAAAACCTTAAAATTTTTATCATCAACTTGTTTTCCAATATATTTATAATCAAAATATAGCCAACTTCCACTTGATTCAACTTTTTCTGATGTTTTAAGTATATCATTGAATTTATGAAATTCTTGAGAACATTTCCTTTCCCAAAGAGGTTCCTATAAAAATTATCAAAATGAAATATATTTTTATATAACGATTACAAACATATTACACTACTACAAGTAATTTTTCCTTTCCTACAGTTTAATGGATTATTTTCAAATATATTTTCCCAGTCTTGTATGTTCCACTTAAATGGTTCCCAATCATCCAGCATTTTGTGAAAGACTATAGGTGTAGAAGATGATTCAATGAATTGTTTGATATTATTGATTGATAGTTGGCTCTCTATATTTAATGGTTCCCTAAATTTTTTAGAGAATTAGATTATATATTTGTGTATCTAAAATTCTTTGTTATTATTTTTGCCCCTTAGAAACAACCTATTTGGCTTATCAACAACTAAATAAAAGATAACCTTACCCTGTCCTGTCTTACAAATTAGTCTCTAGAATATCTATGTATACCAAAAAAAAAATAAAATGATCCACCTTTAAACAAAACATGAGCAGCTATCCTAACTCTTTTCCATATTGGTATGTACAGTAGTGTATATATGTACATTAGAAAAATTATACACCTGATCAAAATTTTGGTACGCTTCATAAATTTGGTAGGAATAGCATCACTTTTAAGAATTTTCTTAGCAATACTCTTAAAACAATCTCTTTCAAAGTGGATCGAACATATTACAGTATTTTTTGAAAAGTCTCTTTCATTTATACCACAAGCCTTTAACCATAATGATTGCATTACAGTATTAGATGGAAATCTGTATAAAAAATAATACTATCAAGTTATGTATTATACACATTTTAAAAGCTTTTCATCAGAAATCTTACTTATGCAGAGCTACTGTGCAATTTTTATTGATATATTTTGAACAAACAGCACAACTTATGTTTTTAACAGGTTTAGACATTTCTACTAAATAATTAATTTTGATTTAAATTCTTTAGATTTAAGAAGTAGAATACTAAAAAATTATTCTTCTTAAATTAACACATTTAGTAAAAAAGAATAAAAACAAATAATTTACAAGGAAGAACATAAAAACAATGACTTTTGACTAGGTAACTTTTTTATTTTATTAAAAAATTCCTTATTAAATATTAAATACTATCTATAGATTTGCACCGAATCGTTTTTTATATTATCTATACTTGTCCCATCTATTCTGCGTCATCACTGATCTATGATTCCGCTGTATTGGGTTAGTTTTTAAATAGTTATATACGTATTTTAATAAATTCAATTTGAGGAAATTACTGATCAATAACAACTTTTAAATCGTTATTTCGGAAGTTTTTAATTGTAGGTTAGAGATGATGTGCGGGTTATGATATTATTATTATTAAGTATCCCATGGCCGCGTCCTTCTTCCAAAAAGGTATAAAAATTTTCATAAGACCGAAAATACTGGATCAAAAGTTGTTATTAACCAGCCATTTTCTTAGTTGATTACAGATTATACTAAACCAGATAGATTATTTCGAACCTGATAACTCGAACCTGCCTAAATACAGTGTCACCACATATGAAAAATTAAGTTATTGTACAACGTATTTTACAATAATAAGTAATGAATAAATTTAATTTACTAGTAAACTTTTGACATATCATTAATTTACCTACATCTATCTTTTTAATTCTATTGCAGTTTATAGATTAGATAATCTGCTACTAAATGCTTAATATGTTAATTAATACTTCAATAACAAATGATTTTTGCACACATTATTAAAAATATTTACAGTGACGAGCAAAAGTGAACACTAATGAGAAAATTCTTAGAAAAAGATTATAAAATAATAACACATACGTTTTAAATTATTCAAAAATGTATATGTATTTAGAAAACAAAATTTAAGCGTATTAGATGAAAAAATACATACATTAAGCAGCGAGTTACTAGGTAACAAATTTTTAAAAGTACTCACTTTTGGACCGGTATTTATTATAGATATATTCCGGCATTAATATTTTGTCTACAAGTCTTTAGTCTTTATCACTGCTTCCATCCTTCGTGGCATGCTGTTGACCAATGACTCGCAGTAGTTTACAACAACTTTTGCCCATTCTCTAATTCTTTCCTACAAATTGTCGAGTGAAGTAGGTGGACTGTGATACTTACTATACAATTTTCCTTTTAAATATGCCCAAAAATTCTCTATTGGGGTCAGGACAGGACTTTGAGCTGGCCAGTCCCTAGTTTTTAAATTGTTGATTGGAAAGCCATTGTTTGACGGATTTCGCCGTATGCTTGGGGTCATTATCCTGTTGGAAAATGACTTTATCATTTGGTATTGGCATTTTTGCAACCACATCTGACAAATTTCTTGATAGAATATTTTTATACATATTGATCCATTGCAAATATAATTTTATCAATGGGTCCAGGTCCATACACAGTAAAATAGCCCCATAGCATGACAGATCCTCCACCATGCTTGATCGTCTGTTTGACATAGGAAAGTTTGAGGCTCTCGCTAGTCTTTTTCCAGAACCAGGACCTTCCGTCAGAGCAGTATATATTAATTTTAGTTTCATCCGACCATATTATCCTCCTCCAGTCTTGTTCTGTCCAGTGTTTATGATCTTTAGCCAACTTTAGCCTGGCCTTCATATTTTTTTTGGAAATTGCGGGTTTTTTTTTTATTTGGCACACACAAAATTTTGTTCCTTGAGAACTCTCAAGGCTTTCCACTTCCTCACTTTTTTCCCCGTGTGTTGTTGCAATAGATTGGTTGCTATTGAAGATGAAGATGCTTCTCCTGTTTGTAAAAGTGAGCAAGTCTTCGTCAATCTTATGGGGTAGTACACTTAGGTCTTCCTTTTAGTCGGAGTGAAGCGTTAGGACAACCTTTATTTTTTATTTTTTGCACTGCTGCTTGACTGACGCCACACTGTCGAGCCACTTCTCTGGTTGATTGACCCGATTTTAGCATCGAAACAATTTGTGTCATTTTTTGAGGAGTAATTTTCATGTTGGTTCCTTTCACTACGAAAGAATGGTTCATACTGATTAAAATAGAAGTTTCATATTTTCTTTGTAATAGAAAGAAATGTAAACAAATCAAGAGTGAAAAATCTCTTTTTTCCAGACGCCTCAACAATAACAAGTCAAAGACACGCACTTCGCTTTGTGTTTTTATATTGTTTTAATAGCAGGTGCATAAGTCAGTATTTTTAAATAAATAAACTCTTAGGCCTTTTATCTTTTTCTAAATTATTTTTTGTGCGTAAACTTTTGTTTTAATCCCTAGAATGTGGATTCAAAAATTTATTAAATTGAATTTATATTTAGTTTCAAAAATGCCAATTTTCCAAAAATTTTGTAAATTGTGTTCACTTTTGCTCGTCACTGTATGTGTGCTTATTAATTACTACTTAGCAAAATATAATTTTAATAATAATTAGTAAAACTTTATGATGCAGCACAGGTCAGATGGTGGCTCATAGGCCAATTCCAAAAATAAAAGAAAAAAATACTATCTTCTTTTGTAGTACTGAGCGTAAGCTCATTTATTCAAGTATTTTACATAAACTCAAATAAAGTAAAAATATAAAAATAGGATTTCTGTTATGCGACTTAAGTAGTNAAACTCAAATAAAGTAAAAATATAAAAATAGGATTTATGTTATGCGACTTAAGTAGTAAAAAATAATAAAAAATATTCGTGTTTTTTAAAAAAAATATAAAATATATTTACATATATTATAAGGGGCGAGTGTTTGAAAGGCTTAATAATAATTTATTGGCCTATAAAAGTTTAAAATCTCGATAGACTAAAATGTTTCAATACAGTTCTGAGCTCATGAGAGTTTGGCCTACAAATATATACTAGATAATATAGGTGGTCTGATTAATTTTCCGCACCAAAATTTTTCGTTAATTCTCTGTTGAGAGCGAGTATAAGCATAAGCATAAACGTTTGTTGTATAAGGCTTAAGTTCTCATAGATAAATTCTTAGCCACTCACAAATAAAATATATTCTTTGAGGAGAGAGGGGTGAAGAAATTCCTCGTTTGCCTATATCTTAATGCAGTAACACGTATACAAATAAAAAAAAAATAACCCAGCACAGGTGGTTCGCGGCACAGTGGTGACGTGGCATAGTTGGATCAAGTATAATGATATCTGACAGTGATTAAAATCACTATAAAAAAAAAAACGCTTCGATGCAAATCTTTAGATAGTGTTTAATTTTAAAAAATTGGTGGATTATTCCAAAAGCTTCATAAACTGCTAGTTCCTTATTAATATCCTGATTAAGATAAAGTATGTCGAATGAAAAAGGGATTATTAAAAAATAGTATTTCCCATAAAAAAATTATATTGATCAATACACTTTTCAATAAGTTATAGCATTATAAAGTTAAAAATGTAAAAAATAAAATCGAGAATTTTCACACAATAATAGCATTTGGTAGCCATTTTCACCGTGAAGACAAAATAAAGTCCGAAATTTTTTTTTTACATAATAAAGTAGATTACATTAGCTTTAATTTAATATATATATAAAAGTGTCAGACTTTCCGGAACACTTTCAAAATTTAAGTTGAAAAAGTCAATTTTTTGTGAAAAATTTGTCATTTTGAATCCCCCCCTGTAGGCAGGTAAAAAGTCAGATTTATAAAAAAATATACCAAATGAAAGGTAATGATATCATGCATCTATATAAAAAAGAATTATATTGATATGTTTATTTTTAAACGGCAGTTTAATTTAGTAAAAAAAATTGAAAAAATTTCGAAAATTAGCCATTTTTAAATTTGTAATTTTTTCGGAGGTTTCCCCCATTTACGGGGAACGAGGGAATTTTTTTCAATTTT